TACATACTGAAATAGAAGACTATGCATGGTCTACAGGTTACACTCTGAACTAGCGATCAGTAACTGTGCCCAGCAGATTCACAGAACATTAGAGATAGAAGGATCCTTGGGACTTGTTTACATCAAAATGTAGTTCTGCAGGTGAAATAACCAGAAGCCACAAATACAATACTATGTTACTTGCTTAACGTTCCACAGTTAAAATTAATGGTAGTATTGAGAACAGAACCTGGAGTTTCTCTAACTCCGCCTTCTTTCCATCATTGTTAATGTGATGCCCATCAAACTCGATACTATCAGTTTTTTGTTTCTTAAAAAATTTTGCCACAACACACACTCATCTGGAGAGAGAGAGTGCGAGCCAAACAGGGAAGTGAGAAAGCAATCCCCAAGGCGGATGGTCATACCACAATCCCTTTTCCATCTCTCCCTGGTTTTGAGATTTGGGGCACATGCAGAGGCTCCCGGCATGATTTCAAGCTGTCAGGTCTGGGACTCCACGTGCACCACATGGGAGAGGTGAGAGGAGGAATTCTCAGGCAATGTGGAATCCAGCCACTTTAACCACCACACTGGCTGTCCCACCATCACAGCTTTATCTGGTTCCCCCCAAATCACATGAAGCATGATTCCTCACTGCTTTGGAAACTACAGTGCCACCGGTTCTGGCCTTGGTCGTCTATGACCCTTGTTTTACAAAATTAATACTGCATCAACTAAGACATGAATGCCAAATCAACACCGGCAAATGTGAAATGGTTTCTGCATTTTATCTTTCAAGTCTGAAGTTAAATACCGCTTGTTCAGAAATGCTTTCTCTACCAAGCATATCTATGCTTGTCCCGTTCTTTATGTAACTTTATAGTACATGCCTTATTTTGAAAACAAAAAAACAGTTATTACATATCTTCTCCAATAGATCATAAATTCCATGAAGGTGGGTCATTTCTCTTTGTTCACAGTTGTTTATATGACAGTGGCATAGTCTTGCCACAAGCAAGAAGCTCAAATAATATTCTTTGAAACAACTAGAGAATGTCTCTGACTAGTGATGGTTCAGGCAAGCCTCACAGACGTCCTCATTATCCCTTTTATCATGTTAATCTTGGTATCTAAGAGGTTGAAATTCCACAGAAATTGATTTTAACTGAGATTTTAGTTCAGCAAAAGCTTCCAACTAGAGCGATTCAGAAATAGAATGAGCGACTTTATAGGATACGGAGCTCTTGGTCAGGAAGCTGCCGGGGAACCTTGTGCCTAGGTTCGAGATCTCTGCAGCCGTGCAAGGTCAGCCTGAAAGCCACTCAGGTGTCTCCCAGCTCTAGGTTCTGGCGTCTGCTTTCAGCTGCTCAATTTTGAATTAAGTTAAAATAGAGCCCATACACAAACACATTAGCAAGTAACTTAAGAAAAGCATCTAATGAGATTTAGAAAATTGGTTATTCACGCATGCTTCCCTCCCTCTCTGCTCGTTTTTTAACTTGTTATAGGGCACATAAGCTGCCAGAGAGAGAGAGAGAGAGAGGGAGGGCAAGAGGGAGAGGAGAAAAAAAAGAGGAAGGGGAAGAGGGAGAGAGGGAAGGGAAGTGAGAAAGTACGCCCCAATGGGATGTGGTCACATGGCAATCCCTTCTCCTCCATCCTCTGAGGATTTAGGGAATGTACACACATGAACCCATTATTTTCAAGCTGCTGGGGCCAGGGTTCATACCATGCATCTGGCCATGTGGGATTTAGCTTTCCTAACTACTACATTGCAGGGCTGGCCCATGTAGCATTTGAGTTTTACACACACACACACACACACACACACTCATGTAATTATCAATCATATGAAGAAAGTGATGCATGAGCTCACACACAGGAGAGGAAGCAGCTTACCCAGTGCTAGTGCTGGCAGGTCTCGAGCCTTCTCTCTATAATAAACTACACTCCTTTTTGACTCCAGTATTCCTCGTTCTTTAGGCTTAGCCCTATTTCCATTCTTGCCTTGAACTAAAAACACCTTTCTTTATTACCAGCACCAGACCAGATCTCCAAGAAGTTCTTAAGGGAGTGCTATGTCAGTAAAATTAAATGCAGACACACAGAAATAAGAGTTCAAAAACTAAGAAAATGGGCAACTTAATTGTAGGGACAATGTCTGGAGATGAATATTATATCCCAGAATTCAATCTGGGAGATGGCACCACAACGGAAGAAAGATTAAGTACATGAGACTGAACTGATGAAACAACATTCTGTGACTTGACTAAAATATTGCTGCTTTTCTTCTAAGCTTTGTTGTCCGGTTTTAAAGTATTTTTATCCTCTCTTGAGCTGTCAATAGATTCATGTACCTACTATTTGAACAGAATACTAACCTGTTTCTAGGTTTTAAGTTTCAAGGAACTATCATTATTAGTTCAAAACTGTTTTTCTTGAAATTACCAGCTGAACTTGCTATTGAAAGTAGTTAGATTACTTATGATATTGTGTGATCAACAAAATGTTGGGGGGAAAGGAATGGAAGACAACTGTATATAGCAGAGATAGTGTAATGAGTGAGTGGGGAAGGGCAGAGGGTCTAATATGGGGTAAAAACCATATATATATACATATATATATGAAAGTAGAAATGGAATATTATTGATGATAACATGCATGATTAAGCCACTATGCAGTTTATTCTAGATGGGAAACCACATTTAGTATGTTGTGATGATGCTCAGGGAATGAATGTTAAGTAATTAAAAAAAAGTTTCAGGAGAAAAAAAAGAACAGTAAAACTGTTCATATTGAAATAAAAAAAAATGCATATTTGATGACTGCAGTAAGCTATATAGTCCCAGCTAGGTACTACTTTATAGTATGTTCATTCTACCCACTGAGGTTTATGCCTAAAGTCAGACTTGGGTTCATGTATAGGTATATATCAGCTGTGCTAGCTATTGGAAATATTTAGACTAATTAATTTAATTAGCAAATCAATTAAATTGGGGGGGGGGGAAAGGCATAGAAAGCAACCATGAATACCAGAGACAATGTGGGAGGAGGGCGGGACATGGCAGAGGGTGAGGGATGGGGAATCAAGGATGGCAAAACAAAGAAACAAAGTATACAAGACAGAAGAATTGGAAAATTATTTGCTGATAATATGTATGTTGATGTGCTTGATTGAGCCAATATACAGTGTATTTTGGATGGAAAATTCATTTGTATGCTGTAATGATGTATAATGAATTAATGTAAAAAATAAATATATTTAAAGGAAAAAAAACATTGAACACACACACACAAACATACCTTTCTTTCATATTATATTGGCAAAGGGTCAAATAGAATTTTAAACTATAACTTTTTTTCATAGATGTCAACTAAAAACCTATTTTAGCAAGTATTAGAGAAGTTATAAATATCTGATATAAATTAGTTCTAGCAGAACAGTGATTAAAAAGTTGAAATAATTAGAGCAATATCTATTTGCTCCTATAATTAAAGACCAACAATTTTTGTATTGTTTCTTTTCTTTTCAAGGTTTTTTCCATAATATGTGTGTGCTTGCTGGAGAGAGACAGTGAGATGGAAAGTGAGAAATCACTTCCCAGAGTGGATGGCTATGCTGCAATCCCTTCTCCATTTTCCTCCTGGGGTTTTGGGCATGAACGCACAAGCACCTAGCATGATTTTCAAGTTACCTCGTTTAGGACTCAGCTGCAGTCAGCCATGTGGGAATCCAACACCTTAACCACCACACCAACTGCTGGCCCCTTGTTTTATTTTTCTAATTTGTTGTAGGACATGTGTATTCATCAGAGAGAAACAGAGACGGGGGAAAGTGAGGCCGCATCCCCATCCCCCGCAAGGGAAATGGCCAGGTCACGGCCCCTTCTACTTCGTTCTCCTCTTGGGATCTTGGGCACACACACAACCATGCCTGGCATGATTTTCAAGCTCCTGGGTCCGTGACTTAGATCACGCAGTTGGCCATGTTGGATCCAGCACCCTTAACCAACACCCCATCACTGATGGCCCTCGACAGTTACGAAACATGATTCCCCCCACCCAGGCCAATAGGAAGGAGGATACAATTCAGAATAGCAACTTCATTAAATCTACTAAACCCCTAAAAAGGAGTATTTTCCTTCTAAAATATTTAGTAAATCACTGAAAATATCACAGGTTAAATGGCAAGGTAGAAAAAATTCAGTATTTTATTTTTAGCTACCAGTTCTTTCTGACGTTACACAAGGGAGTGATCTAATAAACAAAATAAAAACACATTATTCATCACATCTTACAGTGTGAAAGGATCTTTGAAACCAATGAGTTCAGTTTCATTTTTTCTTAATTGAGGGAGTAGTTTTGAGACTCAATTTACTTTAAGTACCTCTTTTGGAGGAGTTTGTCTTTCCATGAAATGCCCCCAACTTTCTAAGGAATTTATGATCACTTATTTATTTATTTTTTAATAAGGTTTTTGCCATGGGGTATGTGTGTTTGCCAGAGAGAGACAGAGAAAAAAGTAAGAAATCACTGCTCGCTCAGGATCAGCAGAAGGCATAATGGTTACGTCACTGGACTCCTACATAGTCAACTGTGGTTCAAGCCCCAGACCTGGAACTTAAAACTCACACCAGGCGCATAAGTGTGCATGCCTAAAATCCTGAGAGAAGAATGGAAGAGAAAGGGATGGCCAGACTGCAATTCCTTCTCCATCATTTTCCTCTTGGGATTCTGAGCATGCACACACACATGCCTGGCATGATTGCTTTCTTTTTTTTTTTTTTAGAATTATTTTTTTTAATTTAATTTTTTTATTT